AGTGAGTGTGAGTGTGCGTGAGTGTTAGTGTGTGAACGTGTGTGAGTGTGAGTGAGTGTGTGTGAGTGTGTGTGAGTGTGAGTGTGAGTATGTGGGTGTGAGTGTGAGTGTGTGAATGTGTGTGTGTGTGCGTGTGAGTGTGTGTGTGAGTGTGAGTGTGTGTGTGTTCTGAGTTTGCCTCTGTGAGCTTTTCTGTGTATCGCCACTTGCTCTGCTTCTTTCTCTTCTTGGTCACTCCATTTCCCTTGTAGCGCCTTCCAGGCAGAAAACAGTGCTGTCTTCCTTCTGAAGTTTAACAACTTGCACCTCCATCAGCAGAGATGAGGGGAGCGCCAAGGTGGAGACTACCACCCAAGTGCTGATAGGTCAGAGTGTCTGCAAGGGCCTGTGTGCCTTGCTCGGTGTTGGATGGAAATGGTACATTTATCCTGTGTGTTAAAATCATTTTCATCTATGAGACCGGAGCAGTGCTGGTCTGACTTTGCCTAAGGGATTTAGAAGAACCGCTGTGAAGAATTCCAACACTTCCTGCTGTGGTGGGCTTCCCACTCTCCCTGCACCCTCCGCACCCCCCCGTACCCCCCATGCTCCCCATGCCCCCCACGCTCCCCACACCCCCCATGCCCCCCATGCCCCCCGTGCTCCCCATGTCCCCCATGCCCCCCGCGCTCCCCACACCCCCTGCGTCCCCCAAGTCCCCCACGCCCCGCCCCGTGCTCCCCACGCCCCATGCCCCCCATGCCCCCTGCGCTCCCCAAGCCCCCCACACCCCCCATGCCCCCCATGCCCCCCGTGCTCCCCACACCCCCCATGTCCCCCATGCCCCCCGCGCTCCCCACACCCCTGTGCCCCCCATGCCCCCCGCGCTCCCCACACCCCCCGTGTCCCCCATGCCCCCCACGCTCCCCACACCCCCCGTGCCCCCCATGCCCCCCACGCTCCCCACACCCCCCGTACCCCCCATGCCCCCCACGCTCCCCACACCCCCCGCGTCCCCCATGCCCCCTCTGCACCCCCCACGCCCCCTGTGTCCCCCAAGTCCCCCACAACCCCTGCGCCCCCCGCGTCCCCCATGCCCCCTCTGCACTCCCCACGCCCCCTGTGTCCCCCAAGTCCCCCACAACCCCTGTGTCCCCCAAGTCCCCCACGCTCCCCCCACTCCCCACACCCTCCATGCCCCCTACGCCCCCCACGCCCCCCGCGCCCCCCCACTCTCCCTGCGCCCCCGCGCCCGGCCGGTGTAGGTCAAGCCATTAAGCTGTACTTTTGCTCAAATTAGGACACTCGTCCTTCCAGTGGCTTTGTTTCACCTTCTTTGCTTTCCTGGTCAGATTCATGGAGTTTCAAAACTTATCTTTCAATATTTACGTCTACTCACCATTTCATACATCAGCCTATTTGAAGATGTCCAGCTTTGTACCTCAGGAGAAAACAGAGCATGGCGGTGTGCAGTGTGCAGTACGCCTACCGCGCCCACGCCCTGCCCACCGGGCTCTGCTCTTGCCCTTGGCAGTGGCTCCTGGCCTTCCAACCTCCGCAAACTGCCTTCTCCGCTCCCCACATCCACCCCTCACCTGGAAATCCAGGGCTTCATGAACCACATTTAAAGAAACATAACATTTGAGGACATAATGATTTCATAAGGCTGGAAATCCTTGCTTTCCAAAGGTTTGCTCATGCCTGCCATCCTAGCTACTCCAGAGGCTGAGATTGAGGTTCAAAGTCAGCCCATGCAGAAAGTCTGTGATATTCTTATCTCCAATGAATCAGTGAAGAAGGTGGAAGTAGAGCTGCAGCTCAAGTGGTAGAGCCAGTCTTGAGTGAAAGGTAAGAGACAGTGTCCAGGCCCAGAGTTCAAACTCCAGCTCCAGCACACACACATGTGCGTGTGCACACACACACACACACACACACACACGCACACACAGGGATTCATAATTCTTGGCCCGGCTGCTGCTCCTGTTAGTTCATTTCCACTTTCAGATGAACTTGGTTCTCTTCAAACACTTCTTTTTAGGAAAGTTGTTTTGCTAATAAGGTAGACATTTACTCTTCCCTGATATTTCTGCTTCAAACGTCAAGTTTTACAACTACTTTACGTCCAGTCTTCTTTTCTTGTATGGCCTTGAGCCTGTGGTCCGCTTGTCCCCTGCATCCAGCGTGCTGGAATCACAGGTGTGCATGACCATGCCTGGCTCTGTCCGTCTTTAAAGCCGTTCCTGTGCTCTCTGCACGTGTTCTCGCTGTCTGTGCTGGTGTCAAGGTGAATAGGGAGCCATTTGCTCCGCGCTCTGTCCCTTCTGAGGCACAGTTCCTCTAACAGGAGGTAGTCTTCCAGTCTCTGAAAGCATCACATGGCGCCACTTGGCACGAAAGGGAGACTTGTCAAAGACCATTCTCATTCATTCTGTAAAGAAGGATACATGGCCCAGGACTGGTGGCTCATGCCTGAAATCCCATGACAAAGACCTGAAGAGGACAATCTGAGGCCAGTCATAGCGGAAAGTTAGCAAGACTGCCCCTCCACAAATACGACGTGGGTGGGGAAGGAATCTGCAGTCAAGTGAGGTTGGTGTCTACAGGGATGCAGGCCATAGCCAGGCTGGTCCCAGGCAGAACAGAACGTCCTAACTCAGAGATAACCTAAGGGTCAAAAAGGGCTGCCATCTACCAAACACAAGGGCTTGAGCTCAAATCCCAGTGCTACCATCATAACGATGATAATGACAGTTAAGAATGCAGGCAGGAAGCCAACTTAACTGCTGTCTGTTTCTGGTTTTCTGGTCTCGGAGCGCACGCATGAGCTGACCGGACAGTCGCTGCCCTCCCTCACCTCCTGCTCCCTGTGACCGCCCTTTCACCCCTCCCCAGCTCCCTCAGGTCCGCCTTCTGTCTGGCTTTGCCAGCCCTTAAACCACAAGCATGGAGCCCGCCCAGTGCCCCATTCTCAGCGTAGACATCCTTCCTTGCTGTGTCTCTCCCCTACCCACCTCTTCACTTAGTTACTGAATGGCCGAAGTCACCATCACATGACAGTGCTGAGACTCGTGCCCAGAAATACCATGTCTTCATAATCTCACTGTATAATGTCTGCAGGCTCCATGACCACGTGGGGGAGGGAGGAGGGAGGATGGAAGGAAGGGAGGGAGGGAAGGAAGGAGGGAGAAAGGAAGGAAGGGAGGAAGGAAGGGAGAGAGGGAGGGAAGGAAGGAAGGAGGAAGGAAGGGAGGGAGGGAAGAAGGGAGGAAGGGAGGAAGGAAGGAAGGGAGGGAGGGAGGTATGGGAGCAGGCTTCCTTCTAACATTTCAAATACCTTGGTCTCCCTCAATCTGCTTCCTGAATGCAACCACATTAAACATTAACCAGTGTGAAGTTTGTCGTTTGTACTTCAGAAAATATGCTGTAATTTTGGTGGCGATCAATATAAATGCAAGTTATAGTTTTCAGAGGATGAATTGGATTTAGACAGAATTTGAGGAAGGAGAAAATGAAAATAAGTACACAAGAACCACCTATAAATTAATGAACAATAAAAGTAGAATAAATGAGTAAAATACATTGTATTGCATGTGTTTAAATGAGAGACTTAAATCACTGGGGTTTTATTCTGAATCCTTTAGCATATATTTTAAATTTCAAAGTATTTTCTCTCTGCATTTTGGATACTTTTGTCATTAATATTCTTTATTCTTAGTTCTATCCAGTCAGTATTTGAAGTATCCTAAAATAACGTTAATAATGTCACCATAAGTTAGAGTTTTAGTGAACTAAATTGTAGTTAGAAATTTTGTGTTCAGAACATTTTAAAGTAGATGCTTTCAGACTGAAATAAGAAACCAAATGTTCAAAGCAGATGATATTACTGATCTTCAGTGGGGAAAAAATAACCAGGGAATTTAAATGTAGTTGTAATCCATAACCTAAGGTTACAAAAAGAGATTTCAGGCTTACACGAATGTGACAAGTTGCAGTCTTACGCGATCATATTTTCTCATATTTAGAAGTTTTATTTTCGGTGAAAAGCCCTGAGTGGGCTTTTTATTCCTGCTGGGAATAAAACGTACTAAGGCTTAATGCAGTTTAAGAAAAGACAATCATTGAAGGGAAAGTTGAAAACTTTGTAGTAAATCTCTGCACTTCTTGTGTGGCAGAAATGTCACCTGGCCCGTCCCTCCACCCCTGCCCGGACAGAAGTCACACCAGAGTGTGCACTGCCTGGCGAGCTTGAGCACATTAGCAAGTACATAAGTTCAATTGGCACAGCTGCACACTCACGTGCACACTTACATACCAGCCCAGCTCACCCCACAGAAGTTTGGACCTTTGGACATTTTACATTTTCTCTCTATAATGTATCATAACTGTGTAGCTTTTCTTCTCACGAAAGCAATATGTATTAAACAACAGAGTTTATTTAGGTTGAGTTCTAATAGGATTTGACACAGTCCTTCTTGATCAGTGATTTTCTTAAGTGGAGAGAGCTCTGCTCCAGGAAGGTACCGATTATAGCTTTGCATCAGGAATTTTGATCCCTTTGGCCTAAGATCATTGGCCTGAGAACAATGGGAAGTTGTCTTCTCTAAGAGACCAAGAAAAAGAGACTGAGACACAAGGGTACAGCATGTCTGCTCTCACTGCATTTTCATGGAAAGAACACTTCAATTCTTTCATGAAGTCTGCCCTGGTCTCAGGAAGGCTCACATACCCCTGGCGACATGGCTTTCCGGCACGATCGTGTCAGTGGTGTTTGCTTTGGAACAGAACCAATGTTTTGCACCAAATGTGAAAGTGGCAAAGTTTGTTACTTGAAGGAAAATGGTGATTTTCTGCATGGTGGAAGTGGAGTAGTGTCTACACACCAGCTTGGACCCTGGCTGAGCACCTTGGCCTTTTGGAAGAGTAGCAGAAAGAGCGGGCGCTGAGGTCTGTATTTCCCTGTGAGCCTGGAGGGAATCTTGTTGCCCGTGTGAGGTCCAGTGTGTGTCTCTGCTCTTCCCTAGCCGTGGGGCTCACTGCGTGCCAAGAGCCAACCCTGCCCAGCAATGGCTTCAAGATTGGAGACCGCTACATGGTGAACGACGTGCTGTCCTTCCAATGTGAGCCCGGCTACACTCTGCAGGTATCTGTCCCGCTGTCCTCGGTGCGGAGAAGGCTTGGGCACCACCAGGCCCTGGATGGTCCCCTCCCCCCCCCCGGCCCCGGGCTGGCCCTAGAGAGCCCGTGGGTTTGCCAGTCCTGCCCAGGCCCCACCTGAAAGAGCTGCCAAGTCACAGAGCCAGGCACCTGCTTTTCACAGTGGCTTAAACGCGTATTCTTGCGGTGGGTGTGCAGAGCAGGTTCGGAGGCGCGCGGGGGCTGGAGACACAGTGTCCGTGTCCGGCGGTCTGTCAGTCTCTCCCCGGGCCCAGGCCTCTCACTGCTGCAGAGCCCTGTGCCAGCCCCACTCTGCACGCTCAGTGTCACCATTAGACGCCACGCAGGCCGGGCACGTGGGACAGGCGATGAGTGCACAGAATCCTCAAGAAACAGGAGGCGAAAGTTTACAACACGCTTGTTATGCGTTTGTATATAAATTATACACAGTTCTTACAAATACTTTATACACCTGGGGAAACCACTCTTCTGTGACCCATTATTATTCTGTTATCTGTTTGCTTCTCAATCCCACCGTAGTCTCTGTCGCTTGGTGGTTTAACCTTGTGCTTTCCGAAGCCCAGGGCCTGGCTCTGCTCCCGATGGCCCGACCCTTCAGTGAATTCAGACCGTAGGGCATGCGTTTGCTCTGTGTGTGTGTGTGTGTGTGTGTGTGTGTGTGTGTGTGTGTGCGTGTGTTCGTTTGAACGTGGATGCTGGGAGCCCCTGGAAGGAAGGCGTTTCCTGCGCCGTGGCCGCCTTCGAGGAGGCGCTCGGTGAGCGTGGGGCGGGCAGTGCCCTGGCAATGCCGGGGCCCCCCAAGGTCTGCAGCAGGGCAAGTCCTGGGGCAGAGCGGGGTGAAAGCCCCGCAGACAGCCTCAGGCAGCAGTGCCAGGAAGCACCACAGGCTCCAGTGACCGCAAGCGTCTGGGGAAAACCTGGGGACTGCTGCGGCTGTGATCGATAGTACGGCGAGTGTGCACTTCTGACGGCCGCAGAGACTCTCAGCATTATATACAACGTGCTACAGCATCGTTGTTTTCTTAGAAAGACAGTCGAGGCTGTGTTTTTTAGTGATGGAGGATTTTTTTCTAGGTGCCTCATTAATAATCAGTAGTACCAATAGATTTTTCAAGTTTCTGATATTTTTACATTGATGATTAAAATTTAAAACGACAATAGAGCCACAGATATTCTCACAAACGTTTCTTCTGTGCTAACACAAGTTCTATTTCGCTTTTCTCTTAAACAGGGCCGTTCGCACATCTCTTGTATGCCGGGGACCGTCCGTCGGTGGAACTACCCCTCTCCCCTATGCATTGGTATGCTATGCGCTCAGAAACCACTTCCTGTAGCACCGGCCAAGCAGGACTCCTCTACTCGGGTTTCAAACGGCACACGTGTGCATATCGTGCAGAGCCTGTGTTATGCGAGGGCAGAGCCTAGGGGCACCCGCCTGTGGTCCCAGATGAAAGTAGGAGTCACAGGTCTGAAGCTGGCTGAGAAAAAGCAGGAGAATCTACCTAAAAACGAAAAGCAAAGGGAGTGGCGTGAGCCTCAGGCAGAGGAGCACTTGCCCAGCGCGTCAGACCCTCAGCTCCATCCCTGGTGCTGAGGAGGGCGGGAGGAGGGAGGGAAAAAGGCAAGGAGGGAGGGAAGGATTGTAAGGAAAGAAAGGAAGGAGGGAAAGAGACCAAGAAGCGCTTGCTGGTGGTAATGGCATCGGAACCACAGCAGTGTTGTATGGCTCTGTCTTTTCGCATCTCTGCCTGGAGAGCACACGCTTTCCAGCTGCAGGTGCCAAGCAAATTGGATTTGTGACGGAGGCAGGCGTCTTAGCTCACGGGGAGAAGCATGCCGCTGCCCCCAGGACTGGAGTGTGGAGCCCGGAGGCCTTTGCCTTGGAAAACCATGTTTTCAGAAGCAAAATCCAGTCTCACAAGGCAGTGATCTGAAGCTGCTGTCATATTTCACGTCCTTGGCACTGGGGTTCAGCCCGCCCTGCCCCCTGGGGCTGCTCACCACAGGGAGCCCCAGAACTTCCTGGTGCCAGCAGCACCAGCCTGTCACTGGTTCTCCAGCACTTCCCCCGCACAGAGATACACCGGCCTTCCTGTGGTCCGGGCCCCTTGGCCCAGCGGCCCTCCCGCAGCCTCTGTCCTTCCTTCGCCTCAAAGCCGGCTGTTCATTGTCCAGGAAGCCATTCCCTGGGCCTCCACCCCCCGGGCCTCCATTCACCAGCTGCATGGTGAACCCCTGTCTTCAGGCAAAACAGATTCGCCCTGCTCGACGCGTTCTGGGGGACTTGATTTTCACCGGTTTCCTCACACATGAAGCATGAGCACCCCATTTGCTTCCACAGCTCGTGTTTCGCCTTACACGCGGGAGCCCCAGCACTTGGCACCTTGGAGTCGACTGACTCTGTCAGAGGAGGTGACACTGCTTGCTCTGCTTTATGCAAAAGAGTGTTTAACTTGAAAAGCCAACTTCATCCAGTTTAATTCCCCTTTGGCTTTGTTTCATGCCCTATAGTTAATGGCAGGCCAACTCTGCCGTTCTTCCCTGGGGAACTCCCCCGCGCCCGCAGCAAAGCTCAGATGCTGATGGCAGACGTGGGCAGGCTGGGATTTAAGAGGAACCCAACAGAGGAGGCGTAGGAGTGGGAACCTGTGGGGGGATCATGTTTCACATTCCGAGTCCTGGACACAGAATGTCCTAATTCCTTATAATCCCAGTGATCACAGAGACAAAGCACATAAGCCACTTCCAGAGGCCCAGGCGTCCCACGCTGATCTCAGAGCTTAACCAAGCTCACGGTCATGAATGTAGCAAAAAGCCCTTCTCGGCGACGAGAGCCTCGTTAAACCGGGTGGGAAGTCGCTTCACGGCCTCCTCCAGGCGCAGCGCCACATGCAACATGGTTCAAAGGAGAGGAGACTGCGATTTCAGAGGCTGCCCAGGGCAAACGCTGGAGTGCCCGTTCTCCAGCCTCTCTCTCATTCTTGATGAAATCGGTCATTTCTGGTTGCGTTCCTGTGTCCAGAGGGAACCTAGACGTAGGGGCAGAACACATGAGCAGCCAAGACCAGGGTGGGAGTTGTCTGCACAGCACAGAATCTCCTTGGGAGCAGCTGCCTCCCAAATGGGAAGGCCCTGGGCGCTGGTGGGCACAGGGCGCTGGTAGGCACATGGCGCTGGTGGGCACAGGGCACTGGTGGGCACAGGGCATTGGTGGGCACAGGGCGCTGGTGGGCACAGGGCACTGGTGGGCACAGGGCATTGGTGGGCACAGGGCACTGGTGGGCACAGGGCGCTGGTGGGCACAGGGCATTGGTGGGCACAGGGCGCTGGTGGGCACAGGGCATTGGTGGGCACAGGGCGCTGGTGGGCACAGGGCATTGGTGGGCACAGGGCGCTGGTGGGCACAGGGCGCTGGTGGGCACAGGGCGCTGGTGGGCACAGGGTGCTGGTGGGCACAGGGTGCTGGTGGGCATAGGACATTGGTGGGCACAGGGCATTGGTGGACACAGGGCGCTGGTGGACATAGGGTGCTGGTGGGCACAGGGTGCTGGTGGGCAAGGGCACTGGTGGGCACAGGGCATTGGTGGGCACAGGGCGCTGGTGGGCACAGGGCGCTGGTGGGCACAGGGCATTGGTGGGCACAGGGCACTGGTGGGCACAGGGCGCTGGTGGGCACAGGGCACTGGTGGGCACAGGGCGCTGGTGGGCACAGGGCATTGGTGGGCACAGGGTGCTGGTGGGCACAGGGCATTGGTGGGCACAGGGCATTGGTGGACACAGGACACTGGTGGACACAGGGCGCTGGTGGGCACAGGGCGCTGGTGGACACAGGGCGCTGGTGGGCACAGGGCGCTGGTGGGCACAGGGCGCTGGTGGACACAGGGCGCTGGTGGGCACAGGACGCTGGTGGGCACAGGACGCTGGTCGGCACAGGGCGCTGGTGGACACAGGGCGCTGGTGGACACAGGGCGCTGGTGGGCACAGGACGCTGGTGGGCACAGGGCGCTGGTGGGCACAGGGCGCTGGTGGGCACAGGGCGCTGGTGAACACAGGGCGCTGGTGGGCACAGGGCACTGGTGGGCACAGGGCGCTGGTAGGCACAGGCTACGTGGTGGGCACAGGCTACATGGTGAGCACAGGCTGCTGGTGGGCACAGGCTGCTGGTGGGCACAGGCTGCTGGTAGGCACAGGCTGCTGGTGAGCACTGGGCCGGGTGGAATAGGAATGGCTGGGCAGGACTCTAGGCTCATTTCCTCATCACTTCAGGCTTGGTTTCCTGATTTTCCAGGTGGGCATTTTCAGGGCTGTGGTGCTAGCCTTTCAGGAGCTGTGGGGGTGCAGTGATGGGGTAATGCCCAGCCTTTCGGGGTCTGGGGTATAGTGATGGGGTAATGCCCAGCCTTTCAGGAGCTGTGGGGGTGTAGTGATGGGGTAATGCCAGCCTTTCGGGGTCTGGGGTGCAGTGATGGGGTAATGCCCAGCCTTTCGGGGTCTGGGGTGCAGTGATGGGGTAATGCCCAGCCTTTCGGGGTCTGGGGTGCAGTGATGGGGTAATGCCCAGCCTTTCGGGGTCTGGGGTGCAGTGATGGGGTAATGCCCAGCCTTTCGGGGTCTGGGGTGCAGTGATGGGGTAATGCCCAGCCTTTCGGGGTCTGGGGTGCAGTGATGGGGTAATGCCCAGCCTTTCGGGGTCTGGGGTGCAGTGATGGGGTAATGCCCAGCCTTTCGGGGTCTGGGGTGCAGTGATGGGGTAATGCCCAGCCTTTCGGGGTCTGGGGTGCAGTGATGGGGTAATGCCCAGCCTTTCGGGGTCTGGGGTGCAGTGATGGGGTAATGCCCAGCCTTTCGGGGTCTGGGGTACAGTGATGGGGTAATGCCCAGCCTCTCGGGGTCTGGGGTGCAGTGATGGGGTAATGCCCAGCCTCTCGGGGTCTGGGGTGCAGTGATGGGGTAATGCCCAGCCTCTCGGGGTCTGGGGTGCAGTGATGGGGTAATGCCCAGCCTCTCGGGGTCTAGGGTGCAGTGATGGGGTAATGCCCAGCCTCTCGGGGTCTGGGGTGCAGTGATGGGGTAATGCCCAGCCTCTCGGGGTCGGTGATGGGTGCACTTGTCTTGGCCCAGTACCAGGCTCAGTTAATTCGTGGCGTGGAGTAATCTGTACCACCTTCAATAAAGATACACTGAGGCCACCTTGATGCCTGACCAGAATACCTTCCCCAAACACACTGAGGCTCAGCTCAGGACAAATGGAGGAAAATGGCTGGTTCTCAGGCCAAGGGGAATCAAGGGCACAGGGTGGCCGAGCCGAGGGTCATGAAGGCCAGCTGCAGCTCGCTCGGCCCACTGGCTCTTCTGGACCATGGGGAAACAGGGCGCTGGGACGTGAATCCTAAGGGAATGCCGGACCCCGACAGCCTTTGTCTGTTTCACAGCCACCTGCGGGGGGACGCTGACCAAGCTGGGTGGAGTGATCCTGAGCCCCGGCTTTCCCGGAGCGTACCCCAACAACCTGGACTGCACCTGGAGGATATCCCTGCCTGCGGGCTATGGTGAGTGCGACGTGAGTGTATTTACAAGTCCCACCTTGTCATTTCTGTCAGGCAGAGCATGACCCTGAGTTAGGAGCATGCCGTGTCTGGGTGGCATGCTGTCTCTTCCATCGAAAGTGGATTGCAGACTTTGATAAAGCTTCGGCAGAGCAACTTGAAGGATGGGAAGGTATTTAGAAAATCAATCAGCCATGCAACTCTTTTCAAATTAAATTAGCTGGATGATGATAGAGTAGGCCCAGGAAGTGCACAATTTGGCGTTGCTAATCCAATTATCAACCTCCTTGTCCACGATCCTGCCTCTAGCCTACCTCTAGAACTCAGGAATGGTTCTTGTTTCTTTTGGGACAAAACCGAAAGGTTATGTGCAGGTTGTGATGCATTTTGAATTCAGTAAAACCATCTATATTTGAAATAATGGTATTGTGTTAGCTTGTGGTTGCATATTGTGCTGATTATGGATTTATAAATTAGAAAGTATCTTCAGAGATGTGACGTGTTGCGTCATGACACGGTACAACAGGGAAGACCCAGAGCGGAGTTTCCGTCACCTCTGGCCACGGGTGGATGTTCTCGCCCCCTGTTCCTGGCTAATGAGGCAAAGATTTCTGTCTTTTCGTGAAGCGCCTTCAGTTCCTGGGTTCCAGAGTCAGTCCATGGGGGACACATGGCTCTGGTGTAGGATAGAACACTTCGAATCTAAATAAGATGAGAAATGCATGCGTAGCTCCTTTCAGATGTCCCTGGGGTAAGATAAACTGGTGTAAGAGCATCGCGATCACAGGATGTTGGCCAATTGGGAGTAGAGATGGAATGTTCTTGAGTATCAAACAGTAGATACATTAGAACTTGAAGACGGTCCCTTCACTGAGGTTCCTCCCAGGGGGTCTGGCAGGCGACAGGTGGTCCAGGTTCTTTGACTGCGGCTTGTGAAATGCTGTGGCTTTCCCGTCACCCTGAGCAGCACTGAAGACGGTGGCTTTTTCTTGAGCAAGAATGTTCCCTGTACTCACTGTTCATGGCTGATTTTTTTCTTTTCTGTCAGTTGTGGGGTTTGAACTCAGGGCCTGGGCCCTGTCCCTCAGCTCTTTTGCTCAGGGCTTGTGCTCTACCACTTTAGCCACAGCGCCGCTTCCCGTTTTCTAGTGTTAATTGAAGATAAGAGTCTCACGGACTTTCCTGCCTGGGCTGGCTTTGAACTGCAATCCTCAGAGCTCAGCCTTCTGAGCAGCTAGGTTGACAGGTGTGAGCCACCGGCAGCTAGCTGGCTCATGGATGATTTTATTGGTTGGTTTGAAACTTCCCGCCCACAAGTGAAAACCACATGTGTAGTCAGCGGATCTCAGACACGTCTCCTGCCCGTGGCCAGCCCACGGCTTCCTCAAGCAGCCATGAGTGAGGAGCACGGTGATTCATTCCCGTGCTCTCCAGCCTGTGCACAGTGCACAGTGTGGAGCTCTGGCCGAAAGTTCGGGAGCCATGTGTAGGACACGCAGGGCTGCTCGGGTTGGGGGTTGTTGGTGTGTAGCAGCTCCGTCAGCCACTGCGGCATCAGCTTGTGCAAGGGACCCAGGCGTCTGAGAGCCTTGCTCCCTCCATCGGGGGCGGCTGGGCCCGTCCCGACGCCCCCACGCCTCCACGCCTGGCGCAGGCCCTGGCTGGAGCGTCATCATCCACCCATGCTCCCCTCCGTCCTGAGGGACTCTCCTGCCTTCCCACAGATGGGTGTGATGGTTTGTGGATGCTTCGGCGAGGTTGAACCTATAGACAGTTTCTGCCTGTGTTCTCTTTAAAACGTTCACAGACACGGCAGAGATGCCACAGAGGTTTTTTTTCTGTTCCTCTATCATTTTTATTGTGAATAAACCAGTAGTGTTGCACAAGACGCCGTCTTAACCTCTTACCGCTCAGGACATCTGGCCCCAGGGAGAAGCCACACAACACGCTTCAGAGCATTGCCTGCCACATCTAGAACGTGGGCAGAGAAGTCGCTCTTCATCCTGTCCTCATCCAGAAGGGCGGCTCCCGCTATGAAGTCATGGTCCATTATTGTTCAAAGCTTGTCAAAGACGAACCCCAAATCCCCCATGCAGAGACTCTTTGTGGGCACTTGATTTCTGAGATATAACTGCGGCCAGAAGAAAGCACACCAGCACATTTCGCCAGAGAGGCCTCTTCTAGATGGACTTGGTGTTGTGACCGCAGAGGTTTAACATACTTGGGGAGATAATGGAAGGATAAGTAGGCCATGCTCATTTGGACCCTGGGATTCAAACTTGACACAGTGTGATGAAAATTAGACAGAGTTTGCGTTAAGCCAGATTTGCTTTAAGCTGGGCTCCATTCTGTTTCCTGATAGGCCGTCAGTGTGGTTTGATAGGTAGCTGGATGCTTTATCCTACTTAAAATGGTAATTTCTCTCACAATATTGTATTTTCATAATTCCTTTTCCATTTCATGTCTAATTCCACACGCGTAAAATGCCGTATTTATTCTGCCCTCTGTTTCTGAGAAATGGTCCATCTTCCCTGGCTTGCCCCTTGATCTGCTGTTGTCATTCAAACGACGTCTCCGCAGGGTGCCCTGAGTCTGGCTGCACGTGTCTGCAGTGCACTCCTCTCAGCAAATTCCCACCTTCCCTGCCCCTCCCCCCCGCCCCAAGTCCAGTTGTCCTGTGCTGGGGGCAGGGATGCAGATTCCAGCAGCTTCCTCAGTCCGGCAACCTACTAGGGCCACTGTGAGAGCTGTCAAAGGAACTTTGCAGGCTGCACAGACTTGGTTTCTCTGCACAGACATAATCACACATGCACGAACGCACACACACATGCATGCACACAAGTGTGCTGGGTGCTGGGTACTGGCCCATCCCCTACCCGTGGTGTGCCCAGAGAGCTCAGCACTGAGAGACAAAGACGACCCTGGCCCCTTCCCACTTCTTCTTCCTTCTTATATCTTCCTGCTTCTCAGTTTCTTCTGACCAGAAAAGTAAAATCTGCTGAGATTCAAAACATATGGACAGCTCTCTGCTGAATAAAGAGCCCCATTTGACACTTCCCTTCCAGCTGACAGGCTGTTTTGTGCTGGTGCTGTGCCACAGCTTGGGACTCGGGTCACCCACCGGACCCTGGCGGTACAGCCGGGCTGTCGCTCCAATCCTAGAAGCAATTCCCAGCTTCGGCAGACGTGGTGAGGTTTAGGTTCTATTCAATAGCTTTTGAAGTTTGCCGGATTCTACTTTCTTTAATCCTTGCTCTTTTGAGCTAAGCTGAGCAAATATTAATGCAAATCACTTTTCTCTAAGAAAAAGTGGGGTGATTTGAACCTCAGATGGAGGCTGTGAGCTCTTGTCTAGCTTATTTTCTTGCCAAACTAAAGAAAGTAAAGCCTTGGTGAGTCAGATGCTGACAGTTTCCTCCCTCACTCAGGGAACTGACGGCCTTCTAAGCCTTTAAGCTCTATCGCACTTGGGGAAGTTTTCCTTCCCACACTGCTCCTTTACCTTCCCTTCTGTCGCACTGCTGTCTGACTCATCGGGGTCTCCTGTCTCCCGTTATGGGGGAAGATGTGTGCACCTGAAAGTTTCTCTATGGTTACAAGTAGAGAGCCTTGCACTGTGGGCATTACCTCTGATTTTCCCAACTGAGGACATGTATGTATATTTGCTGGAAAAGAATTAAAGCTCCGATGCGGAGCCTGGATTTCATCTATAGCACCACAGGAGCAGAATCAGAGGAGAAAAACAACACAGAGGCAAAATTCTCAAGACAGACATCGGCATTCTCAGTTTAGGTTTGACTACCCAGTCAGAATGCAATGGTTTACGAGACTCATGTCTTTGGAGTTCTTTAATGAATTTTCAAATAAATTAAGACCGTTGAGATGGGGCATTTGCATTTCCTAATGTCACAACTCCACACCACCTTGCTTCTGACCTTCTAATTTGCCAAGGCACCCAGCAGCCTGAGCACACAGGGCTCAGTGACCGGGACTAGCTGCAGTCTGCGGAGCCGCACAGGCTCCCGGCTTGAATTTCGAGCCTCCCTTTGGTTTCTTACAAACATTTTTGGCTCATTCTCCATGTCCAGTACAATTGAAAATGGTCACTTGCTGAATGAATGCAACCGTGTGACCATCCAGTTAAGAGCTAAAGTTTGGAGCTTTGTGTTTTTCCAACCTTAACAAAGCTGTGATGAACTTGTGTCCCAGAATCCCAGCCTTGCCCTTATGAGAGCATCAACCTGGCAGCAACTGGAAAAAATGGGTTTTGTTGTGTCTTGCTTTGTGTGCTAATCACCCCCGCTCGTCTGTGTGGAGCAGGGCCAGAGCTGCCCACGGTGCGGGAGGACCTCAGCGCAGGGGTCCCGAGTGAGCCGGAGCCGGCCGTCCTCCGGCGTGTCCCGTCCTGTCTCTCAGACACACAGAGCCGTTAAGATGAGCCTTGCCTTTACAGATTTCAAGGTGCAATTTCAGTCATCTTCCATGGTTTTTACTCGCAGGTGCACACATTCAGTTTCTGAATTTCTCTACGGAAGCTAACCACGACTACCTGGAAATTCAGAACGGGCCTTACCACACCAGCCCCCTGATCGGGCAGTTCAGCGGCTCAGACCTGCCGCTCGCCTTGCTGAGTACCACACATGAGACCCTCATCCGCTTCTACAGCGACCACTCGCAAAACCGGCAGGGGTTCAAGCTTGCTTACCAAGGTAAGGACCACACCACCCCCGAAGAGCTACACGCATCCTGTATGTCGGGTGTATTCAAATGTGAATTCCTGTGCTGGTTAAAAGCTTGCTCAGGCGGGCTGAGCTTTGGTGTCATGTAGTACAGCAGCGGGCTGAGCTTTGGTGTCATGTAGTACAGCAGCGGGCTGAGCTTTGGTGTCATGTTGTACAGCAGCGGGCTGAGCTTTGGTGTCATGTAGTACAGCGGTGGGCTGAGCTTTGGTGTCATGTTGTACAGCAGCGGGCTGAGCTTTGGTGTCATGTAGTACAGCAGCGGGCTGAGCTTTGGTGGCACATTGGTCTCTGGTTGTGGTTGCCTTAAGCTTGTGTCTAAGAGCTCTGAGAGGAAGAGCAGAGCCAGATGCAGCCCTCTAGGTACAGACACACACACAGACATACCCATAGACACACATAGACAGACATACACAGCTATGCACACAGATACACACAGACACACACACACACAGATATACCCACATATACCCATAGACACACACATACAGACACACACAGATATGCACACAGATACACACAGACACACAGACACATAGACACATAGACACACACAGACACATACACAGATATACACACATATACCCATAGACACACACAGACAGACATACACAGATATACACACAGATACACACAGACACACACACATAGACACACACAGACACAGACACAGATATACACACATAGACCCATAGACACACACAGACAGACATACACAGATATACACACAGATACACACAGACACACACACATAGACACACACAGACACAGACACAGATATACACACATAGACCCATAGACACACACAGATATGCACACAGACACACACACACATAGGCACATAGACACACACATACAGACATACACAGATATGCACACACAGAGACATGCACAGATATGCACAGATATGCACACACACACACATACCCATAGGCAGACACACAGAGACGCACACAGACATGCACACGCACACAGCCCTCTCGTGTGGCCATGGTCTCGTCTTCGGCGTGTGTCCCCGGCAGCCCTTGTTCCCTCAGTGGAGGGTCTGTCTAGGATGAGGCGCAGCCGGAGGGTCTGGCATTGTGCCTCCGCACACGATCATGGCTCTGTGCTCTTCTGAAGGCTCTCGGAGCTGGTCTCAAGCTGCACGTTTGCTGGCGAGTCGGGGCTGCGGGGCTGGCTGGGGACTGGTCCTCAGTCGGTGTCACTGTTGCCCACTGCCTGGTTCTGCCATCCATTCCCCAGCGTTCGGTGCTCATGAGGAGACGGGCTAAATGGATGGCGCTTGTGTAGCAGGATTTCTCTACAGATCGAGCCTGTCAGACGCTTCAACCAAGGAAGGAGAAAGGGAAGGGTGTAGGGGTCGGTCCCGGCCGTGGAGCAGGGCTTTCCTGCAGGACTCCAGGAGAGGACCTGGCGGGTGGGTGGGGTCCCTCCCGTTGCTGTCTGCAGGATTTCAGAGCTGGGACGGACGGGGCTCCGCGTTGTGACTGGATGCGAGCACATCTCTCGGCCCTTCTCAGCCCCCTACTTCTGGGCTTTGTGATGCCGAGGTTGGCACCAGGACCTGGCACAGCTAGGGAGCCATGCGAGGAGCTGCAGTTCAGGCCCAGGGCCGTCCAGGAGTCAGATTTGGGGAGGGGGGAACCACTTCAGCCCCCTGGGAGCCTCCTGGCCAAGTCCCAGGTCAGAGGGGAAAAGGAATCCTGCGGTGTAACCACCAGAGGAATCAAAGACAAGTGGGCTTGGAGAGCGGAAACAGAGAAAGCCCAGCCTCCTGTCTTCCTAAGGATTTAGGGAAAGTCCTGGGTGGGTGGATGGAGATTAGAGGTTTCCCACCGGTGTGGGGTTAGCAGGGAAAGCTCTGTGAGGCAGCTCACAGCGGTCACCTCCTGTCTCGTTTAGCCTTCTACTCACCAAAGTCACCTTGACCCCTTACTATTCAGTTTTTAATGTGCAAGTTCAGCCTAAAAAGAAATTTGTTTGTTTTTAAATACACATACGCGCGCGTGCACACACACACACACACACACACACACACACACACACACACGATGAAAAACAGTGTAATAAACCAAAGTGAAGCTTCGAGGGATGGCGGGGGTTCTGAAACACCTTGGTTGTCACTCATTTGGAATTTCTGAAATAGCGAAGAACAACCATTCCTTCGGGTAGCTGTCCTTGCTGAAGCCCCGTGAGACGCGGTGTCAGGGGCCGTGTCGTGGCAGGAGGAGACGCGGTGTCTGTCAGGAGGCCGCCGCGCAGCCAGACCTGCAGCTCCTATCCCCGAGCCTGCCTTGTGTGTGTTACTTTCATTCTGATGAAATTTTAGCACCCCTCCTCTTCACTCTGCTGCATTATGTTTGAATTTTCTTTTATGCCCATCTTTATTATTCAGTCCTGGTCGTTTTTAACCCATGTCACAGCAGGACATCAATGTTTCTTGAGTGTCCTGTGGGATGATCATATAACCCTGCACTCACGCTACTTCATACAACTCTCAGAATGACCTGACAAGGTTTAGTACCGTTGCTCAAAATTACAGGCGAGCAGGTGGTATTAGAGAGTGGTGAAGACTGAACCGGCATCATCACCGTTGTGAAGGTCGGTGCCGGGAGGGGAGCTTCAGACACGGCTCTGAGCTGGCTGGCGCTCCACACGCCGGTTTCTAGTGTAGCTCTGCATTTTCACGAGATGATGCAATTGTTTCTGGTTTATTGGGGGTAGTGGGCTGGCTAGGTAAGCACTCATAATCTCTGCATCCCCTAAGACTTCAGTCCTGAATCTCTTTCCACAAAATGTATGCAAACAGGAAAGTAAAACACAAGAGGTACACATAGGAATTTTTAAAGGATTTTAAAAGTTATCCTTAAGTAGTTCAGCAAATCAGCTTATGGGTGCAGTGCAGTGCGCCCCTTTCATCCTCCCCATCCCTCCCAACCCCTCCCCTTTCCTCTGCTTTTCTTCTTTTAATTTTGAAGGCTATGCATTGAATTTCATGACTTCATTCGTCCTCCCCTTCCCCCCTTCCCCTCCCCAACCCACCTTCCCAGTGCCCTCATCCGGCTGTTTATTTTGTAGACCTGTGAGGTAGCCTTTCTGAGGAATTAACTATATGTAAGGAAAAAATCATAAGTTTTAACCACAGGCATAGTTCTCTGCTTCAGCACTGATCTGCAAAGCAGTTCTGCACGAAGGACCTGCCTTGAGGCACCACTTCACCTTTTCAAATGAAGGCTTAGAAAACAAACCAGCCAGCCAAAGAAGAATCTCTCCGTTTACCAGGAAGGAGCCAGCCACCTCTGGGGGCGAGGAACCTCTGGGTGACTTTGTCGCAAATGACCCAGGGCCGTAGCTGGGGGACAGGCCCGAAGGGGAGCAGGTCTGATGGAGGGAGCAGCTGCCCAGGGCATTGTGGGTCACTTGGCTGGACTTCCAGGCCCCCCGGGCTCTGTGGGTCACTTGGTGGATTCCAGGCCCTCCGGGCTCTGTGGGTCACTTGGTGGATTCCAGGCCCTCCGGGCTCTGTGCATAACCTGGTGGATTCCAGGCTTCTCAGGCACTGCCCCCTCTCCTGGGGAGCTGGCTAGTGGTGGTGCTTTAGCCTGGGTTCGGTCTCTACCTGAGGCTGACCTCAGCAAGGCTGCGTGTGCCCTGGCCTGGCATCTCCACGGTGGAGAACACACTTGCACCTGTTTTCTGGGAGCACGGGTGATGGGCGTCGGCTTCGTTCCCATAACCCCACGCTGCCCCCATGGCCCACTGACTGCCCTCCCGGGGACCCCTCCTGTCTCAGGAAAACCTCACCCCTGACCTTGTCTGAGAGGTCAGGACTGTGTGTGTCAGAAGGACCCAGCAGGACAGGTCGAAGGGATTCCAGGGAGCAGGAGCGGCCCTGAGAGTACCTGGCGTCGCCTTCCACGCTCCGTGAGGGCCAGCGTTACGTGGGAATTGTGCCGCAGTGGGAATTAGCACACATCTGAGAGGGGAACTCAGAGCCTCAGATTTACTGATTCAATCTAAAATAAATTTCACACATTTGAAGTATTTCCTAGAGAAATTCTCCTAACGCATCTAAACGACTTGTACATATAACTATAGAATTTCAGATATAGAAAGTGAAATAATAATTCTCATTATAAGCACCATAATTGTTCCTCATAGTTCTTTGTGGGGGCATCTTAACCCATTCCCAGACACTACCCAGTGTATATATGTGTATGGGTTTTTTTGGCTGGCTGTGGGGCTTGAACTCTGGGCTGGGGCGCTGTCCCTCAGCTCTGCAGCTCAGCCATGATGAGCCGCAGCACCGGGGAGTCCCTGGGCTTGGGGGACACAGAACCATCCTTTGCCAATCTCCTGCAGCTTGTGTGCATTTGCTTGTCCTTTTATGCATTTGCCCAAAGTAAAAGCAACGTTTACAACTGCCTCGTTCCTCATTTCCCATTTCATTCCACCGAAACAAAGGCAAATCAGGCCCAGGAGATCTTCTAACTTCTTTCCCAGCTCCTCACACCCAAGAGACCCATGTGTGGTCCCCAGGTGCGTCGGACCCAGGCAGCACCGACACCTCCACAGGCCTGGTCCTTCTGACCTGTGTGGGGAATCGGTGAGCCTTTGCGGGAGCACTTTTGAAGTATTTTGAGGGCTGCATATGCACCTTAAATGCCATGACAAGAAAGGAAGGGAAGAGAAAGGGAAGGGAAGGAAAAACTTTCTAGAGGAGGGCTGGGGTGCTGGCGTGGGACTGCAGGAGGGGGGTGCAGAGCCCTCGTGGCCCTCTTTCCAGCCCAGCACAGAGTGTGGTTAGAGTATTAGATCAGGCTGGTCAGCAGCTCGGCTGCTTCCATCCCTGCGGAGAACTGAGAGGGGCTCTCAGATCGTCCAGTGACTCACACAGCCGCAGTCAGGAGATGCGCTGAACTGCGTTTTTCCAGCACGCCGGCCAGTGGCTGTGGGCCTGAGCGAAG